CTTGAAAACCTATCTAAGTGTTCCCATATCTACCTTGTTCTTCCATCCCCTCCCCGTTCTGGTGTACTGCCCTTCCGAACACCTGAACTATGATGTGTCTGCCCCCAAACCCTGTGTTCTACCATCACCACCCTCCACCTTCCCCAAATCCCCCCACCCTAACCCCACTGGTAATCAACAAAGACATTTTTTTTTTTTTTTCCTTTTAGTATGTTACCCACTAACTTTGTGGTTTATTTTTTTCAGTAATGGTAAACCTAACTATCCTTACAGGTTTTCTAGTGCCTTTGCAAATTGATTTCCTGGGCCTTAAAAGGGGCAGTTTTGCTTGTGGATTAGAATTTTTTTTTTTCAAATAAAGAAGCTGTATATGATCATATGTCCTTAAATCCAAAGCCTAACCCTCGTAACATTTGTGCTTCAATAATCTGAGATAATGGATTTTCACAAGGAATTTACATGGAAACCATGGGTAAATTTAAGGAGGTGGAGAATTGAGTAGGTCTACTGGTTCAAGCTCACCAGCAGCTTCTTGGAAACCTATATAGGGCACTATGGGTCAGAATTGACTCAACGGCACTTCACACACACATATACACATTTAAGTATGATTCTAAGTGAAGTTCTCGTAGCACTGGATCTACAAGTCCCCTAGATGAGTCCAAGTCTGCATTTTCAGGCCTGACCTCTTTCTGACACCTAAGGCTTTCACCTCTAGCTATTGACTAGACACTGTCCACATATGTAGCTCAGTTAACTTCAGACGCATGGTGTCAAGCGCCGCCAACTTTATCCACAAACTTGATCTTCCTACTCTTTTCCCTCTTTTCCTTAATGGCTTTGTTATTCTCCCAGTCACTCAGGAGTTAAGTCAGAAGGTAAATTACTGTTTGACATGAAAAGCATTTGATAATTCATAATTTTTATAGATCTTGTTTATTCCCTTTTCAGTTCTGCTCAGAAAAGGAAGCCACTGCCAAAAACTGTATATAATCTGCTCTCGGATCGTGATTTAAAGAAAAGGCTAAAGTTACATGGATTACCTACTCAAGGAAATAAACAGCAGCTCATTAAAAGGCATCAAGAATTTGTACACATGTACAATGCCCAGTGTGATGCTCTGCATCCTAAATCAGGTAAGGAACAAAACAAAGAGTTATCCTTGTCCTTGGAATAAAGAATTTTTGTGTAGCTCAGGGATTATAAACCATAGGATAATAGAAAAAAAAAAATTTAGCAAATGCATTTTTTGATAGTAGATAATACATGTAAACATATTCAGTCAAAGGTGCCTAGAGTATTGTGTGACAAGCAAAGTTCTCTCTCAGTATGTCTTCCAGTCCCCAGATTCTCTTCTCAGAGGCAACCATGGTTTCCAATTAGGTGCTTAAGAGTGGATCTGAAGAGCTTGAGTTAATATCCCAGTTTTGCTGCTTTATGGCTAGGTAACTTTGGGCCCGTTATATAATCTCTCCATAGGTTAGTTTTCATATCTGTAAAACAAAGGCTCTGATGCTACCTATTTTGTGGTGTTTTTTAGAGGAATAATGAGAAAATGTATGTAAAGTGTATGGAATCATACCTGGTAAGTAGTTGTTTTTGTTGTTAGGTGCTATCACAGCTATCTTGTGTACAACAGAATGAAACCCTGCAATCTTTTCTCATCATGATGTATTTATTGGTCCAGTTGTGAGGATTTTATTTTATTTTTATTTTTATGGCAATTCTAACTCACCAGCCGTTCCTTGGAAGTCCTATATAGGATCGCTATGGGCCAGAACTGACTCGATGACACCTAACAACGACAACCTTTTATATGCGGGGTTTACGCCAGTTTATTGCATTTATTTAGTTGAGTTTTCTTTTCTATTCGTTTTTTCTTTTCTGTGAATTTAGTAGTTTTTTGTTTTGTAGTTTGTCTTTATTTATTGGTTTATTAGCCAGCTACACTTTTTTTTTTTTTAAATTATGAGTGTATAATGTTGTTAAGTGCCGTAGAGTCGGTTCTGACTCATAGTGACCCTGTACAGGGTTTCCTAGTCTATAAATCTTTACAGGAGCAGAAAGCCTCATCTTTCTCCCGCAGAACAGCTCGTAGTTTTGAACTGCTGACCCTGAGGTTAGCAGCCAGATTCGTAACCACTACGCTACCAGAGCTCCTGAGTGTATAATATACCATGCATATTTAATTTCTTACAGTCTGGTGTGACGCTGTGGGTTAATGGGCCAGACTGCAAAGCCGTTTGAACTGCAAGGTCGGCAGTTCAGACTTACCAGCTGCTCCTCAGAAACCCTATACAGTGTCACTATGGGTCGGAATCAACTCCATAGCACTTAACAACAACAACCATCAAATAAGAACTAACTCAATGTCACTTACAACAACAACCATCAAATAATATTATACTGCTTCATATATCTAAGTTATCCAATGCTTCTATAACCTGAATATACTGCAAATGGATGTCTTTAGCCAAAAACACATTTTTCTCTCACAGACTAGGAGGGTAGAAGTTTGAATTCAGAGCTCTCGCTTTGGAGAAAGGTCCCTGTCTCTTTTCAATATTTGTAGGCCCGTTATTGCTTGGGGATCTCCATATGTCTTACCATCAATCTCTCCCTGAATCTAGGAGCTTCACAGTTCAGGGACCTCACTTCCAAAGGATGCCCTCCATTCCTGGCTTTTGTATTTGGGGGCTGTTGTTGTTGTTAGGTGGCACTGAGTCGACACCGACTCATCATGACCTTATTATGCACATTAGACGGAAACACCTCCCGATCCTGGGCCAACCTCACTACTATTGCCATGCTTGAGTCTATCCATGCTGCCACTTGGCCAGTCTATTTCGCTGGGGGTCTTCCTCTTTTTCTCTGACCCTCCACCTTACCAAACATCATATTATTTTCCAGCCATTGGTTTAGGTTTTGTTCTTTTTAATCTTATAGAAGTAACTCGATTTCTTTTGGGTGGATTTGAACCACCAACCTTTTGGCTAGTAACCCAGCGTAAATCATTTGCACCATGTACATACGTATAGTGGCATCCTGGTGTGGCACTATAGGATAAATACTGGATTGCTAACCATAAGGCCAGCCCTTCAAACTCACCAACTACTCCTCAGAAACCCTGTACAAGGTCACTAAGAATTGGAACCAACTTAATAGCATTTAACAACAGAAACAACACATATGCATAATAAATGTACGGTGCATGAGGGGACTTCAAAACATTCATGGAAAAATTCCCTTCTGTTTCCATTGAACTTTTTGAGTGCCCCTGTATCTGTAACACATCAATGCATTTGCATTTATATGTGGAGACTTCAAAGTTTGTGGAATACGGAGTTAAAAGGTAATGGAATTTTTCCACAAACTTTTTGAAGACCCCCCTTATATATTTAAGAAATTTTGAGAACACACCAGCATCTCTACTTTAATCCCACAGGGTTTTCCTTTATTTTTTTCTAGTCCATGTTTAAATCTCCCTTTTTCCCACAGTGAGAACCCTCCCTCCCAGCTTCATCACATGTATTAATTTGTTGATTGTTTCATCCATAGTGGCTATACCACAACAAAATGAACCTACCCAACATTCCCCTGAATTGAGGATATACAGTTGAATACTGTGTTCATAAATCTCTTCTAATCTCCCTTCAATGTTAACGTTGTTTGTTGGAAATACCATTATTGGATTCTGTTTTGTTTTTTTTAAAAAACCTTTTTATTGTGAACTGAATGAAGGTTTACAGAGATCATCAACGTTTCATTCAACAAATCGTACACTTTGTTTCATTTCAGTCCCTCCTTGCAACAACAGTTATCCTGCTTCTTCCCTGTGGCTTCTATTGGCATTCCATCCTCCTTCCTTAGGAAAATGTTGCCCTTTTGCTTTTGAATAATTGGTGAACATACTTTATTAGTGTTGTTGTCCATTACCCCCCTCCCCCATAAGCCTATGGAATGCTTGGCTGAATATTATTGGCCATGAGGGTGAGTTCCTTTCTAGACCTGAAGGGCTAGAGGGTCGTAGTCTCAGGTACCTCTAGTCTCTTTCTGATCAGTAAACCTGGTCTTTTATTTTTAATGAAATAATTTTCAGTTGTATTCCATTCTTTCCAGGACCCCCTAATGTGATCCTTTTCAGAGCAGTTGAAAGTGGTAGCCAGGCACTGTGTAGTACCTCTAGTAGATCAATTTTCTATTCAATTATTAATATATAATTTGTTTCATGTCATTGATTACAAACCCAACAGTGTAATTTCACTTATTCTGCTTCCTCCCTGTTTCCTGTTTCCATTCCTTCTACTTTCCTAACCTTTCTGGATTTTGTCCCTGGGCAAATGTTGTGCTTTTGATCTCATATGGTTGATGATAGGAAGCAGCATGTTGAGAATAATACTCTTCCTGTTGTTTGCCTTATAGAGTTCTCTGTTGTTTGGCAAACTAACACTTGAGCTAAGAGGGTGAGTTCATTTCTACACTTGAAGGACCATAATCTAAGGGGCTTCATCAGTTTCTATCTAACCAGTAAGTCTGGTCTTTTTTGAATGATTTTCAGTTTTGTTATACATTTGCTTCCAGTGTTAGTTGTTTGGGGGGCTGCTAACCACAGGGGCAGCAGTTCAAATCTACCAGGTGCTCTGAGAGAGAAAGATAAGGCACTCTGATCCGTTAAATATTTAGTCTCAGAAACTGTACACATGGTCTTACGAGTCTGAATTGACTTAGTGGCTTTATTTTAAAAATAAAGTTATAAGAAATTAATAACAAATGTAACATATTATTGAAGAGATAATATTTTCATAAAGGAGCCCTGGTAGCATAGTGGATTATGAACTGGGCTGCTAACTACAAGGTAAGCAGTTCAGATCTTACCAGTCTCTCTGCAGGAGAAAGATGAAGATTTCTGCTCCCATAAAGATTTACAGCCTTGGAAACCCTAAACAAGGCCACTATGAGTCGAAGCTGATTCGGTGATATACCACTACCACCACCATATTTTTATAATGGACCAACTGCAATCATAAAAGAAAAAGTATTATATACAATATCATTTTGTTTACTTTAAAGAATGTTCATATCTACTTGCTTTTGGTTTTGTATTTATTCTGTTTGGGGTTCTGAGATTTTTGGGTTTGTTGTTTGACATCTCTCATTGTTTTTGGCAAATATTGGCAATTAATTGATCATACATTGTTTTCTTCTCTTTCTTCTTTTGGGATTTCTGTTACATATATGTTAAACCTTTTGATGTTATCCTGTAGCTCTTAAGTATTCTCTTCTGATATTTACCCCCTTCCCCTTTTCAATCCATTTGACAACAGCCATTGTATCCCACATTCCACATCCACTTCTGAATCCGGCTTGAACTTCTGGCAGTTCCTTGCCAATGTACCGTTGCAGCCGTTTTTGAATGATTTTTTTTTTCTTCTTAAATGTTTTATTGTGAATTATGTGATAGTTGACATGGTTACAATCCCCTCCCTGCAATCCTTCCCCCGTA